TGGGGGAGGGGGAGGGATAGCATTAGGAGATATGCCTAATGTAAATGACAAGTTAATGGGTGCAGCACACCAATATGGCACATGTATACATATGTAACAAACCTGCACGTTGTGCACATGTACCCTAGAACTTAAAGTATAATAAAAAAATATATAAAATAAAGTTATCATGCCATCTCACTTTGCTTACGGGAATCAAAGAGCTTCTTTTGATTCTTTTATGCACACTAAAATCCCAATTCTGTTTCACTTATGGCTATCCCACCTCCTGATCTCCATCCTCATCTCCCTATGTTTTTACCATGAAATTTTCCATTGCCAGGACATATAGCAAGCAATGTATCTCTACAATTCTAATGTGCTTAATTCCATATCCCAGGATAGGAATCAAGCCTAATTTATGATTGATTTTATACATTTTAGGGTTAAAGGCCAAAGTCAATTTAATGCTCATAGTAGGAAGAAAAGCTTACATAATCATGAATTATTTGATTGATGCCATCCTTCAAACTAAAAATGTATTTTATGCTTTGATGTTTTCACTAGAAAAAGTTGATCCGTATTTGTGAGAAAGGAAGTAGCCGTGCTCATAGGCAAAGCATATTCTCTTAGCTCCATAAATAAATCAACCCTAAAGAAACAGGTCATTCATGTTTACTCAGCATTTCCTGAACACATTTATGTACCCATCTAAACGTCCACCAAGTCCTCTCTGCAAATCTACTTGGAATCCGAGCTGACCCCCTGGTGGATGGGACAGACTGGTTTTATGCAGTCAGAAGATGGACCAATAATCTCAGCACAAAGCTGGCATGTTCAAGAGATTTAATTTTTTATATAACAGCTTTAGCCAAAGCTATTCTAGGATTCAGCGGAAGCAGAATTTCATGACAGGACAAACTTCTTGACTAATGGCCAATCACTAATCAGCAGGGAGGGCAAAGCTTGGTGCTTGTGTCACAGCCTGGAGTGGAGGGGGTGAGTGGGGCATCAGTATCAAATAGTAAATTGGGACAACCAGCCTGGCCAGCCTTGCCCTCACAGCCCCTCTGAGCAACCCGTCAGGAGGCAGCAGACAGATCAATGGTCAAGCCGGGGGCGATTTGCTCTGCCACAGGCTACTGGAAAGCAGCTTTTTGCCTCACAGACATCCACAAAATGCCTTATTTTACAAGACTCATTTTGTTCTTGTTTTGCCTGATGGTTCTTGTGGAGAGCAGAAAGCCCAAGAAGAAGCGATGGACAGGGCAGGTGGAAATGCCCAAGCCAAGGTAAAGTGGGTGGGAAAGGAGGGAGGTTACCCTGCATAGTAGCAGCAGCAGTGGCACAGTGGGACGGCTCCCCAGGGGCTACAGGTCCTATTTTGATATCACCCTATGAGAACCCAGCTACTTTGCTGAACGCAGCCTCTCACTGGGCACATATACTCTATGTGTCACCAGCACTGAGAGCAGAACTTGACTGCGGTGAGCCTTCCATTTGGATGCTTGTGTTCAGCCAAAGCATTTTAATTTGAGGCAGATATAAATAGTTGGAGACATAGTGGGTAAAATCATTCTTTGTACAAATCACATTGTGCTGCTTTGTTTCTCAGGGTTACAACCGGTGACCTGCTAAATAATTACACTCATGTATTTCGGGGAGAACTGTATATAGGAACCTAGCCTGAACTATTAAGAAAAAAATGCATATGAGTTGTCTTCCTTAAATTATTTGCCAGAGAATAACTTTATAATAATATTGGGTTTCATTTTACTGTTTTGAATCTTAGAAGAGGTGTTCAGAAATTTGCTTAATTATCAGAAATATATGTGTGGACCACAGTGAATGCAATTTCATGATGTAATGGAGACATTCCCAAGAAATAGTGGCCCAGGATCTGCATTCAAAATCATTACATTACAAATCTAAGTTCCTTAGTAAGTTTATTTTGAATTGACATACAAAGCATCATACTCCAGGCCCGAAGTAGACATAAGGACTGTTAGACATGGAGATAAGAAAAGAACAAGCAGCTAAGATATAAACACCATGTGTGGCATGTTACACATTTATTTTCCATTCTACTAAGCATCAGATAAACTAGTGATTTTGAATATAAATTAATATCTTGAGGCACATTTTCTAGGTCAGTGATCCCCAAACATTTTTGATCATGCACTGCTGTCAATGACAAGTTTTTGAAACTGTATCTCTAATACATGCATATTTACTTACAAATCATATACATGTGCTGTTATAAAAATGTATGTTAAAGTTTAATTGATTTCTTGTTTTTAGGGGGAAAAAAAAAAAAAAACCCTGAATATAAATAAGAGTTACAGCCTCTACTTCCAGTATCCCACTGGCAACTGCTGCTCTGGGAGAGGTAATTACTCTCTTGTGTTTGCTTGTTTTTTGAGATGGACTCTCTGTCACCCAGGCTGGAGTGCAGTGGCACAATCTTGGCTCACTGCAACCTGCACCTCCCGGGTTCAAGCGGTTCTCCTGCCTCAGCCTCCAGAGTAGCTGGGTTTACAGGTGTGTACCACCATGCCTGGCTAATTTTTGTATTTTTAGTAGAGACAGGGTTTCGCCATGTTGGCCAGGTTGGTCTCAAACTCCTGACCTCAAGTGATCCACCCACCTTGGCCTCCCAAAGTGCTAGGATTGCAGGTATGAACCACCACACCCAGCCTATAATTACTCTCTCTGGGGCCTAGTCCTACTCAGTGGAAGGCAAACAGATCAGAACCCTCCAGAACAATGCGAAAGAGGCCCTGCTCTGAACAACCCATGCGAGTTGTGTTACCAGAACCATAGGCTGTTAAACTGGAAGGAGCCTCAGATGTCATCTGGGCCAGCAAGTGCCCTGAACTCTAATTTTGGGAAACGTGAACGGCTGTTGAGTGAAATGGGGTTCCAGGGTCACCAAAACTTGGAAAACCCTGGTTTAGACCATTTTCAACAGATGTCTTTACAGCAGAACTTTTAGAACTTTTGTTATGCAAATAGGCACTATGAGAATCTTGAAGAGAGGGATAAATTCTGCAGCACTTCTCAGAAACAACTAAAAAATCCAGTTTTTTGGACTGTCTTGTAGGATTCCTACTCCATGGACACACTGGGAAATTGCCCAAATCAACTCATTTGACAGATGCTGAAATGGCTCAGGGGCATGAGTAAGTCACACGGCCTGCTAGTGGCTTCCCAACACTAGAATGTAGGTTCCTCATTTACTTAGACTGGAGGAAAATCTGTTCAAAACTGTCTATTCTGTAAGAACTGGGGTTCAGCACAAGTTCCTCGGGGGTACCAGGGACCCCACTCGGCAGCTTGGGCTGTGGCGGCACCTCTGTCACTTTTCCTCAGAAGTCCACAGTCTCATTCCCAGACCCCTGCATGAGCCTGGGCACAGCTGGCTCTGACTCTTAGCGGGGAGGAGACTTTGTTGAAATCCAGCCCATGAGGTGTTAAAGTGGAAAAAGATGAACACATACATCACAAGGAAGTAAAATATTTATTGAACGGAGGCTGGGGGAAAGGACAGGGAATGTGGTTCTGGGCCTTTCTGCATCCATGAGAGTACACACATGGTCAGACGGTCAATGGGGCAACGCCTCCCTGTGAACATTTCAGCCAAGCCTCTGACAATTTATTTTTCCAAATTACTTTCATTATTGACACGCAGGGGTCAAGCTATACGAACAAATAAGAATAAAATGACCTGACTGTTTCTGATTACAGTCTTAGAGTGCTATATCTCTTTAGGACAGCGACTTTTCTTAGAAGTTCTGTTCACATACAAACTCTCATACACAGTCACACTCACACACATACCACGTATCGCATGTGTGGCTTCACGGGCACACACTATGCATATGGTCACCCTCACACACGCACACTGTGAAGACCTCTTTGAACCTGGAAGCCTTCCCTGTTTCACCCCGGCCAAGGCATGCACACAGAGCAATGATTCTGCCCAGCAGCTGCTTTTACAAAGACCGGTCCCTGTTTTCTGCTGCTTTGTGTCTCTATGCACTAAATGGCCGCAGAGCGAGTCTGTTTCCTCTTGGCTGTGGTTGGTTTTGTTCTGCTCTCCCAGCTCTGAGTCTCCCAACTTTATTCCTACTCCTCCTGGCCTGCTGCCAAAGTTGGCCTCCTGACCACACGATTGCCATTCTTTCTTGCCAAGGGAGGCCCTTCTCCCTTGAGAGCTGAAGGATAAACCAGACTCTGGGCTGTGCCCTGCACAGCACTGTCAGGCCCCTGCAGGTCTCAACCTGGAGCCCGCTCTGTAGCTTCCTTCCCCATCTGCTGCCTCCTCAGTACCTCTACCTTGGCCATCCTTCCTGGGTCTGCATTGTGGTCCTGTTCCGCTGGATGCAGGAGCAGCTTTGCTTTCCAGCCACACCGTGACCCTCATCTACTGCTGCGGGTCTGGGCAAAGGAAAAGGAGTTGGGAATTCAGGAAAATCAGGTTCAGACCCTGGTTCTGCCGCCGTCTAGCCATGTGGCCATGTTTCCTGCTCTCTCTGAACCTCAGCTTCTCCAGCTGAAAAGCGGGGCGGTGAGCCCTTCCCCACGGGTATGTGAAGATGGGGTGAGGTCAGCCTAATGTCCTGCAGTTCAGGGTCTGCACGGGGAGGAGGGGCATCCACGAACACCTGGTTATCCTGGTTGCTGTTATTGCCAAAAAATCAGAACGTGATGACACGAACCCTGCTTCCAAAGGCATATTGGATCCATTTTTCTTCTTCCCTCACCCCTCACCCGAAGGCCGGGTTTGAGGTTCCATGAAGGTCCTGGCTGTCCTGCCATGGGTGGGTGGGGGCTCAGGAAGGAGTCTAGGGTCTGAGGGCCGAGACTGTGTGGGCCATCTCCCGTGAAAGGATGAATGGAGAACATATGGCTCTCGCAAATTGCCCAAGGCTCAGATCTTAGTGGCTTGATCTCTTAAAAAAACTCTGGGCCCTCAATGGCAGTGGGATTTAAATCTCTCTCTTGTTGGGGTGGTGGCATTCTGGGACTTCCGCTCCCCTAAGCCTTTCCCTAAATGGATGTGGAAACCGTGCTGACCAGGAGGGATTTACTCCCTGTGAGTCAGAGGGGCAGTGAGCCGGCTGCACTTATGGTTTAATGTCTATGATCTGCTAAGCCCTCGGGCTGAGCTCTTCATCTGTCTCCCGGGAGCGTCTTTCATGGGGCGTCTGTACATGGCCCCTCACACAGACACTGCCCAGAGACCCAGGCCTGGCCCCACTTGACTCCTGGAGGCAAGGCTTGAGGAAGAGATCAGTGTGCTGAAAGCTCCTTGGCAGTACCCGACCATGACTACTCATGGCTTAAGGGGGCTGGACGGAGGTCTCATATTTCAGCCATAAGGGAGGAAGTTAAATTGGACTTTCCTCTTTGACCTGTGAAGCTATAATGGGCTTGTCTAAAAGCAAATCTTATCATAGCTTCCTCTTCCATCTGCCTAACACCCTTTACTGTCTTCCCATTGCCTTTGGATAAAGACAGAATTCTTAACATGACTCTCAAGGCTCTGCCCGGTCTGGCCTCTGCTTGTCCCTGCCGCTTCATTCTCTTCATTCATTCCCACCACACCCCCCACCCCATCCCGCTTCTCATCTAATGCTCACTCATTCTTCAACCTATGCCACTTCAAACTGAGTGCAGCCCAAACCAAACTATGCATGCATTGAGTTCAGATGCCTACAGGATCTGAATTATATCTGAGTTCAGATGCCTATAGGATCAGATGCCAATCAGGGATGTTGAGTTAGGCAGTCAGATATAAAGGTTGAGAGTAGAGGGTAGGGATTTAAGAATATCAGCATGTTGATGACAATTTAAACCATCAGCTTAGGTGGGTCTGCCAAAGAGAGGGTAGAGAGAGAAGATGGCTGGGACAAGGTTCTGGGGACACTGACATTTAAGGGATGGGCTGAAGAATAGGGGCACACTGCCATGGAGAAGCGCCGGTCAGAGAGGTAGGAGGAAAACCAGAGTACCTTGTCCTGAAAGATAGTTTCTGGCAGAAACATGGACCTTCATGTCTGCAGCTGCAGAGAAGCCAGACCTCAGCAAGAGCACCTGCAGGATCAGGGGTTGGGCATAAATAGGCAAAAGGGCTTGGAGTGAGGCAGCACCAGCAGCCTGTGGAAGATGGCTATTTGGAAGAGTTAATTATTTACCGAGGGGGGAAAGAAATTTTTTTTTTAGGTGGAACAGTGAGGATTTTTAGGGCAATGAAACTATTCTATATGATACCATAATGGTGGATATA